CAGAGGGCCCGGTGGCGCCAGTGTCTGGCAGCCTCACCTCTGTCAGTGCGCCCCAGGGCAGCTGTAGCTACAGTGTAGCTTGCCATCACCAGTGTGTGAATGTGTGTGTGAATGGGTGAATGACTGAATGTAGTGTGAAGCGCTTTGGGGTCCTTAAGGACTGAGTAAAGCGCTATACAAATGAGAGGCCATTTACCATTTCTAAACAGAAAAATCATTTAGTGCTTGAATGTCCAGCATGCCGGCTCAAATTTGGATATTAAAACATTTCATTTCATTCATTAAAACAATTCATTTTGAAATTCTTTACTTCAGTTTAAACTGGTAAAATGCTCACTGAAAGGGAATGAGTCCACATTAAAGTACTTCATGATGCTAGATGTGGTCTCTTAGACACATAAGACGAGACATAATCTAGCGGATTCAAAGACAAAGACATTCAAAGTCCGTATTAACACCTGGAAACTATTTGGAACTCAACGGAAAAAAGGGACAAGTACATAAAAACAATGGCATCAAGAATGCAAGCTGTTATCAAGACTAATGGAGGCCATATAAAATATTAGTTTTTTAAGTTATGTTTAAAAAGAACTTTGTTTTTTGTCTAATAAATAACGATATAATAATCTAATAATGTAATAACATTTTTTAAATAAATTTCTAAAACATTAGTATTTTTATGTTTTTATGACAGGTGGTCAAATAAATGTATTAAGATTTTTAGTTCAACTGGTGTACAGACCAGTAACCCTCCGTCCCCCTCTCTGGTTTCTGGCTGTCAGCTAATGCAGTTTATGATATTAAAAGGTTAAAAGGCTAGTTGATTAAACACTTATGTTATTTATTACGTTAGCACACTTGAAACAGTTCTGACAGTCAGTCTAATAACATTAAAATCAGTCTTTAAAGTCCCCATAAGGGATGAGCGGAGAAATAGAAATTTCACCTTCTGTCCAGGAGGACCAGCCTGACCCTCTGGCCCTCTGTGACCGATGCCCGGCTCCCCCTAAAAATAACAAAACAGATGAACACATCTGCGCAGTCACCATCATTAAAACTTAAAAAGCAAAGTTAAATCTTTATATATTTACCTTCTGTCCCTTTTCACCAATTTCGCCCTGAAGAGTGCATAGAAATGAGTTAGAATAACGGAGTGCACCGTGACACATCCTTTTCATGTGCCAAAATAAACTAACTCGGAGGAATTTGAAAAAAAAAAAAAAAAACAGGATTTGTCAGCATGTTTAACAAGGGGAATTATTAATGTCTGCTTTAATCTACTGTCTCAAAGTCATACAGAAATAGAGCAGGAGGGACATCAAAGCCCTGGACTCAACCAGATTCAGTGACAGGCGAGACGGGAGGGAAGCTCTCCCTGAGCTCTGATGTCATTTACAGATGCAGTGTTGGGAGGAGGGGGAGCATCCATGATATTTTTATGAACTGGTGGAACATTTCATGTGGGGACATGTGTCATTCTTGCTTCGTGATCTTAAGATGATAATAAAAATAATGCTTGAAATCAGTGGGAAAGTATCAGCGACTCGGTCATTTCAGCATAGATATCTTTTATTTCAAAGGGTTGGTTCAAGGTTGATGTTGGGCAATATTTATCACTAGGATGGAAGAATATCAGTCACACACAGCTAACAAATTTTAGAGGCATAAACTAGCTAGCAACTGCGGCAAACGTGATGGATCAATGACTCTTAACAGCTAAATAATACTATTTTTTTCTTGCAAGGCTTGAGCCACCTGTTGCAAATTTTGATGGCTTTTTTCCCTTTTTAATCTTTTCAATAAAGTTTTATCATAACATTCAAAATCTTGTCACCTTTTGTCCTGGTTTTCCATTTTCACCTGGCTGTCCCTGTTGCACAAAAAAGACAGTCAGTGATCATCATCATGTCTATAAACAGCTCATTTGTAAAACAGTCATCGAACATTTCAAGAAAAGTGTAACATGTTTACATTTTACTCTTTTGCCCTTACCTTCAGTAAATAATACCCCGGGGGATATGGGTACGGCAGTCCAGCTTCTTCATCGTAATTTCCCTCTCTCCTCCTCTCCATCTCCTCCCTCATCCTCTCCCATTCCTCCCTCTGCCGCTCCAGTTCTCTTTCGTTTTCCATTTTTTCCCTCTCCTGCTCGGCCTCCCTCTCTTTCTCCAGTTCCTGTCTTTCTCTCTCCATCTCCAGCCTATCCCTCTCTCTCTCCATCTCCAAGTCCTCCTTCTCTTCTTCCTTCTCTTGATCTACACCTTCCTCTGTCTCCCAGTCATTGTCTCCACTTCTCTCCTCCTCCTCATAGACTGGATCAGGGACTGGTTTTAAATCAGGCATTAACTCTTTCTCTTTTTCCATTCCCCAATCTTCCACTTCTGCTTTTGTCTCTTCCTCTCCTCCACCTATTGTTTCTGTGGGAACCTCTGTCTCTGTATCGATGTATCTCCATCTCTCTCGTGCTTCTTGTCTCTCACTCCGGCTGTGTGTCTGAAGGCCTGGATTTTCTTTTTCATCCTTCTAAAAACACAAATCAGCGTATTTGTAAGTCATCTATCCATCTGGATTTGGATAAACACTTGACCTCTACTGTTGAAAACAGACTTACGCTCCAGATTTTGTAACCCTGAGCTCCAGAGGAGATGTGCTGTAATTTAAATGAGTACAAAGCAAAACTTTTTTTTAGATGCAAATTGATTTAAATTTTTTAAAACATGGAACTATCAGATGAAAATTAGTACTTGCTGTGCCTTCTTAAACCGATTTCGTCCTCCTGGGGCACCTGGCATGAACGCCTAAAACATACAGATTTTACTTCATGATTTAAAAAAAAAAAATCATTTATTAGTCTTCTACAAAAACAGGTGATGCTTACCATGGAGTCAGGCCAAAATGTTCCTCTTTTCACCCTGATTTCAGGTTGAGGCACTTCCATCTCCCACAGAGCCTTCATAAGCAAATTTAGCAAATCATTTATGATGATTGATGTTTATATACTTTGTAAGTGCTGAGCCACCTCTAATTTCTTTATATTGTTTGAGGAAAATGGGAAACAAACATGTGCAGGCATACGCAAAAACACAGCATCTGACATTGTGTTTTCAGTTTGTACAATTCTTAAAAGGGTGAAAGTCCATTTGCTATTATCATCTTTATTTTTTAACACAGCCAGAAATTGTCCAGGCTTCTGGAAGAGCATTCAAAGCTCTTCTTTGAATATTTACTGTCTTCAACAGGTCTGGGCTCTGGGAAGGACAATCATGACTGTTTGCCAATCAGAAACTTTCCTTCTGATGTTATTGCATAGTGGATCAAAATCGGACAAGGTCACCAGTGGCTGAAATGCAACCCTAAACTGTGACAGAGCCTCCACCATGTTTTACAGATGGCTGCAGATATTCACTGTTGTACTGCTTTCCTGACCTCCTCCACAGATAATGATGATTACTTACCAAAAATTCTAAAGTTTGTTTCATCTCTTAATCAGACATGTTGTCACTGGTTTTCAGTCCAGTTCTTTGCCATCCTCCCTTAAGAATGGCTTCTTTCTGATGAGGCTTCAGGTATCGGTGGGGGTATAGCTCAGTGGTAGAGCATTTGACTGCAGATCAAGAGGTCCCCAGTTCAAATCTGGGTGCCCCCTTCAGATATACTCACTGCTTTCTTTGTTATTCTGAACTACTTATTTACTTCCACGGAACCAATTCTTTAATCATACTAGCATTCTGTTGCTGCTTTTCTGTATTTATTATGTTAATGTGTCTTTTTTTCCCCTTGTGCAATATTTTGGCAGATCTGCAATTTCCATAGCCCTTCCACCCTTACTTATTATTTATTGCACTCTAGTGTACATAGTAGGGCAGCACAGTGGTTAGCACCGTGGCCTCACAGCAAGAAGGTCCTGAATTCAATTTCTCCATCGGTCTGCAGTCTTTCTGTGTAGAGTTTGCAAGTTCTCCCCCGATCCTCTGGCTTCCTCCCACAGTCCAAAGACGTGCACTTAGTGGGATTAGGTTAATTGAAAACTCTAAATTCCCATTGGTGTGAATGTGAGGGCAAATGGTTGTCTGTTTCTATACGTTAGCTCTGCGACAGTGTGGCGACCTGTCCAGGGTGCCCTAAGACAGCTGGGATAGGCTCCCGCGACTTTCAGATACAGACATCTACTGCATAGTTTGTGTGTGTGTGTGTGTTTCTTGTCTGGTTTCTCAGATTCTTTCAGAACACCCTGCACTGCAAAGATATGCAGGTTTTTAACTAAAACATCTTCGGGAATTATCATTTTATGTATATTCAAATTTTGTCAAATTCAAGATGCAACGCTGGCTCACCTCTTGAGTTCGGTGCTATTTTATGCTTGGATAATTAACAGTTCAGCGTGAAGTAGCTTAACAAACAAAAATGCATATTAACCCCTTAGCAGTCCTACAAATTTACAATTAGTCCCCTAAACCATCCAATGTACCGTGGGCGGTACGTCCGACTGCTAACAGGTTAAGGTACAAGACTACACTAAAAATGAGTGAAAAAGCAGTCAATGTCCAAAGAAAACCTTCACAAGAAACTTCAGAAAGCCATGAGAACTATTGCTCAAGAGGACTTTTAAATATGAGAAGAAATTCTGGCTCCTTGGAAGCAAAATATAAAGAAATCAGGGGTGGCTCAAGACTTTTGTGGAGTACTGTACGATGAGAAAAAAGGAGGAAGACACAGAGTTGTTTAGAAAGTCACTTTTACTTAAGCACACATGCACAGAGAGGTTAAACACAGACAATATAATTATAAAGATAAATTTCACCAGCGTAACAAGTGTTTGATCTGGCTACATATGTGTTTATAGTAAAACTAGATTCTAAATATTATCTATGGTATTCACAGGGTATGGTAAAGTAAGAAACTCTTAGTATTTCCATGTTTTAATAAATAAAATGTCTGTATTTCCTGAAGTATGTATGCAAATTGTTGTCATGTTGAAGAAAGCTTACTTCTATTTTATTTACTGAAAAATACTTGTCATAAATAAATTAGGAGTTTCTGGCAGGTAAGTAAAGCTACACTGGTTTTTACACTGACCAAGCTTAAAAAAACACAACCTACATACGAGGACAGTTTTCAGGTGCCTAATTTTCTATAAGCCACAACAAGAGAACACTCTGGTATGGTATATGGTATTTTTTGGTGAGTGACATTGTCTCTGTGCAGAAAGAAGTCCCCCCTCATGAAACGACGTTGTTCAGGGTTCATCACCAGAGAAAACGGTTCACAGTTTATTCGCACTCTCCGTGTAGTGCTTTCTTATGAATGATTAAGACTCTATAGTCTCAGTCTCTCGGGAATTAAGAGATTTCCTGTTTAAAAAAACGAGAGAGAGAAAGTATTAAAAGTAACTCTCTGGATTTTTTTTCTCAGTAAATCATTCATGAACAGCTGGATTAGACTACATTTTCTGCTCATTTGCATTCAGACAAGCTTTAGAGAAATCATGCTAAAAGTATGCCGCTCATGCTTTGGTCATGTTTGGTCATGTATTCACATCAGCCTTAAACAAACACTTGCATTATTTTGCACTGGTGAAATTTTCATCAAAAGCAGAAGAAAGAAAGGGGTCTTGAAAATGATGAAAGTGCTGCTTATGGTTTATTTATTGACAACTGCAGTTAAGCCCATTCGCTGTTTTATTCAAGCACTTGCAGATCAATTTCAGGACCCTTGTGCATAAGTGCAAATAAAGTTTTTCAGTCCAAGGCATGCAAAGATCTTTAAGACGGAAGCCTGTAGAACTTAAAATGAAAACTCCACCTGATCTGGTTCTTCTGTTGCCGAAGGAGGTGTAGACTGAAAAGACACATCGGAATTTTAAAGTTAAAATGTCACTTGGAAAGTCAAGCAAAATACAAAGAAAGAAAAAGTAAACAATGCCCTATATTTCTCATGAGCACCGAGCTGCCCAGGAATACCTTCTCTATATCATCAGAGGGTCGAGAGGGTGACTCTGTGGTTGGCAAGATAACCTAGGAGGGGACAAATAAGTACACAAGTCTGAATGCAAACCCCCCAGCATATTGGTAACTTTTACAACGTTTTTTTAAAAAGTTACTTTTTTTGTCATTACTCTGAAAGTTTGCACCTACAGTATCTGCCATTAAAATATGAAGCTAGCAGGTTTCAATGTTTTGTTTTATTATAGGTAAAAGTATTGAAAGTTGCTCTGTGATGTCAGTTTCTGTTTATTGAAAGAAGATTGGATAGCTACTGTTAAACTTAATGCTAAAAATTGGGACTTTTTTCACACTATCACACATCCAGAGTACACTCAGAATATAACAACACTTTAATATGCAAACTGCAGAGGAGCTGAACACAAACCCTTTTACCAGAAGAGCCTCAGTCATCCCTAAAATGTCCATGCAACATGCGGCTCAGGCTCTTTTGCCTATACTGACTGAACTACCTGGGTTTATTGTTTGTCCAGGGCATTCTTATGTCATGTGAGCACCAGTTATCTGGACTTTAGGCTTTTTTCATTATCATACGACATATGTGGATAATGACAGTGTGGTGGGAGGGTTTGGTATGTTGGATCAGTTGAAGGAGGGAGAGGTGGGGCAGAATAGTTGAGGGTAGCGACACCAACTAGGTGGAGAAGAACACCTAGTCTGCTGATCCTTCTTTCTCCCATATAGTAGGTGCAAAGCTGGAGAAATGGTGAAGAATGTGCAAGGTGAAGCACAGCAGGTAGCTGTGCACTGACTATGTTGGCAGTCAGTGGGTGATTTCTTCTCTTTCTGCTTTATAATAAAGAACTGCGTGTCCGTATAATTAAAACGCTTCCCTCTGTAATTTCATTCTTAGTGGAACCTGGCAGAGGTCCCTGACTTGTTTTGTGCTTGAATGAATAAAAATGATCAAAAGATAAATACCAAAGATAGCACAACATTTGTTTCACCTGTGCATCCGTTTCTCTGTCTGAGAAGACTGTTATAGGTTGACTTAAGGTCTCGACCTGGGCAGGACTGGGTGTGAGCAATTGTTCCTTACAAATCAAAAGCAACACAAATGTATTATTGTTCAGGTAAAACAGAAATGTTTATTACTTTAAGTTAGCTATTGGGCTACAAATGATCACCTTATCATCCACTGGATGGGGAAATTCATCTGTTTGGACTTCAAGCTGCGCATGTTAAAGAAATTGAACACATGTCACATTAAAAATGAATCATAACATTTGTACCCAGTCCAGCTGAAACAGATGAGAGAATATTTACCTGTCTGTTTTCCCCGAAGTCCCGAGGGATTAAGGGGTCAATTGTGGTAAGTTCTTCCTATTTGGAAAAGAAAAAAAAAAAAATCTCGTCATAACTTTTAAACACTCAAGCCCACGGTAGATGATGTGGAGAGCGGATGAAGTGGGCTGTAATGACAAACTAATTTATTCTTAATAATTAAGATTAGGTAGTGGGTGTGTCATTAATCAGATCTCTGCAGCATTTGTGTGGGCGCAGATATAATTCAGTCTCCAGAGATACTGCTACGAAGAAAAAAAGAAAAAAAAACAAAAACGCAGGTGACTGGATGATGAGTTTGGCAAGGCTGTTAACAAGAAGGCGCTCACAATTCTCTAAATGAGGAACAACCCCACGTCATCAGCATCACATTAAAATTAAGCTTCCAACGGTGCATCAATTACTGATTTATTATTGCAGCTGCCTACCTCGTATTCATAACTGTAATCCTCGCCGTTATAAAACTCGTCTTCTTCGTCTTGCCTGGCCTCTTCACTTGTCTTAGGATAAAAAGGAAATAGCAATTATAACAGGAAGGAATTGTGGCACAGCATTATTTATCACGTGTGAATAACTGGAATAACTGGAACACATCAACGAGCAAGCAAATGTAATCTGTTAATATTACAGTGAGAAGCAGATGGACATCAGGATCAATGCATGCTTTTAGTTAAATGAGGCATATTGTGGGTGCAAAACGTGGTTCATTCAGTGTGTTTATATTCACAATGTTTTAATTTAGGATTATGTTTCATTAAATCTTTTTTTTTATAAAGTTATGTTTGTATTTTGCAAGGTTAGACATTTTAATTTAGTTGGGGCTGAAGTGAAGTAACGTTTCTGGGTTTATTCTGATCTGTTGTTCAAGGACATTTACCAAGCGTTGTCTCTGCCTCCTATGTCGTCCTTTATTTCCTTTGCCCTGGTTGAGAAGTTCACAATCAGAGAGAGAAAAGATGAAGGTTTCCCATATTTCAGAAGTTGTTGATGATCAAGTTCTAAACTGCAGCTGATAAGTTTAGGGAAATGAGTAATTAATGTTTATCAAAAATGAATAAAAATCCTGTTAAATTAGGATGATTAAAAAACATTAAATCTAGTTTTACCAAACAGTTTAGAGCTGTTTATGGTATTTATAGGACCATACCTGATGTTTTACATGTTTCAGCCCATCCGATTTATGTGTATATCCCTTTAAAGACTGAACCATGAGATAATTACTAGAAAACTCAAAATTTGTGTTTTTTTAACCTTGTGACAATTTTTATAAAATTTAATGAAATAATAATTTGCAAATATGAGTTTTAATTTGAATCATATTTGCTAGATCTGGCATTTTAAAATATGATACACTACGCATGTGATTTAAATATATATAGACACATATACACTGCCTCCCCCGCAAAACATGGATTAAACTAAGGCTCATATGATGAATGGCAAGAGTTTATTTAACCCTAACTGATGCAGTGAGTAGCTTGTCAAAGCAGAAGACGTGATGATTTCCCACAGTCGGGGAAAAGACCTGCATCGAGAAAGAAAACAACTAAGGAGACAGGTGAAACTTTTAAAAATAACTTAACTAACACATTATTAAAAGGATAGTGGTGTGCCATCATCTTCGAGGACGTAATGCGATCAGTGAGAGAATTGGAGATCGATTGGTGAAATCAAATCATAGTCAAAGTAAGAACATTTCCTTTTGACCTTGGGTTGCTTCACTTGGTCAGATCATGGTTGACCACCGTTATGTGCCGAAAGAATGAACTTATCCCAGGGATATTCCAAAACTGAGGTCCAGATCACCAGGCCGAGGACTATTTTGCACTGGGCTCCAAAGAAAGAATAAATTTGTTCTCTCCAGTACTCTGGCTTCCTCCCCCCCTTCGTGACCCTGAAAGTTATAAGCGGCAGAGAATGAATGGATGGATGGATGGATGGATGGATGGATGGATGGATAGATAGAGTTTCGGGTATTTTATTTTTCCAAAAAATGACACTTTCACCCAAACCTTACTCTTGCACTTAACTCTTTTTCCATGCATCACAAAGTCTGAAAACCCAGTGACCCAAAAACAAATGTCACTGGAGAACTTCTTTGAACAGGAAGAAAGAGCCAAAGATGAGTCACCAGAGGGATCTCAGAATGCCAAACAAAAGAAAGAAAGAGATTAAGAATCATACTTAAATTAAGAGGTTCATCGCGAGATTCACACCCTCCACATTCGCTTGGTATAATATACAGTGACTGAAAAATTGTCCAGCGTTAAACTGGTCGATGGTACAAAAACGATTGGGAACCGCTGCTCTAAGATATCAGTGTCTCAGATTGTTAAAGAGCGGTTCAGGGCACATGAGACATTATTTTACACATGAACTGACCACCACAGAGTCAAGAACTTAACCCCACTGAGAATTTCTGGGATGTGCTGGGGAAGACTGAATCCAAGATCTTAGAGAAAAATAAATGCAACGCTGAACGACAACACATAACGCTGCATAAGCTTATCGAAACAATATCTTGGCAATGCTGTCATCAAAGATAAACGTGGATCCAACAAAATATTAGACTTTGCAACTTTATTTTGGCTGGGCAGTGTATACTAACCACTAGTGACAAATATATTTTAAGGGATTCTTCAAACTATAATCAATGCATATTTAAAGAACACATTATCAGTTGATAACAGAGACACAAATATCAGCTTTCAGGTATTTTTGTGGCACCCTAGACGTGACTCATATTAACTTCTTTCATGCCTTTAACTTTGTTACCATAACTTAGTGCAGCCCTTAAAATTAAAGAATAAAACTCACATCATTCTCACTAAAATGTAAACGTTAAAGAATTTTCCATATTTAGATTTCCTGCTTCACTGGTGCTACAAGTGCACTTTCCCAAATCTACATTACTGTGCAGTAATATCACAACTGAGAGTCCAAATCACTTAAAATTAGCATAAACATCAAAACAGAAGCATCCATTTAGTAAAAGCTGATGTGTATGCTAAGTAGAAGAGATAAGCTAAAACATCAAACACCTGTATGGTCCTTTGGCAATATGCATTCATTGTAAACTGATGGAGAAGTATCCCATTTTCCATCCTCTATCTAAAACCCAACCCTCAATATGACAGTTATGGTAGCTTTACTTTCCCACGTTCCCTGTTCTTCTTCTTTTGTCCTGAATTCTTCTTCAGTGAGTCCTCCTGAGTGAGGAGAACAGTCTCCATTACAGATTGAGGTAACCCTGAAAACATCTGACAGACAAATTTTAACTTCAAATGCAATCTGAATATAAATAACACCAATAGTTCGCAATGTAGGATTGTTTAGATTTTTAAAGTATGACATGTACATCATTAGAGTTTACAAAGCATTTTATGAAATATTATGTGAATGTTAGATATATATTAATTACTTTTATGACTTTTTTAGGAATTATTATGAAGTTTATTTGCATTTAATTTCTTTAAATAAAGGGAATAATAGAAAATATAAAAAAGAAAAATGGCACTGAAAGTTTACACTCTGTCTTTCTTCCATCTAAAAGTGCCTAAATATGAAATGTGACAGCCTTACCTCATTGGTCATTGTATAATTGGAAGTAGAATTGACTACAGTCAGATTAACTTTGAAGGAAGTTCCAGTACTGTCTACTGTCTCCTTTAAATTGGCCTCAATCGTGTCGTGCTCCGGTTCTCCATTCAGCGTGTTGACGGTCCATAAAGTTGGATCCTCTGCAGTTTCATTTAAAGGGTCCTTCAGTGAGAGAAGTAAAAAAAAAAAATACATATTAGTGACAACTGGTGATAAACTATATCAAACACAGTTTCATTTCTCCAGGATCATGGTGAAAACATTTAAAGCCACACAAGCTCAAATAAAATGCAAATGCACAAAGGTATGAGATGGCTGAGAAACTTTATTAAACAATAAATATCAAGGACTGTTAGTAGAACAATAAATATTCAGAACATGAGCTGTACATTGTTCGATGAAGCATGGACTCGCCAAGCTGCTGCAAACAGTTCTCAGAGATTTTGGACCACACTGACATGATAACAACACATATTGTAGGCTACAGTGAGATGATTTGAGCTTTGTTGCATGATGTGTTATCTTTCTTGAATCAGCCATCAGAAGATGGGTACATTATGGTCATAAAGGGTCAGTAGCAATGTTGAGGTAGGCTGTGCATTTAAACAATGCTAAGTTGGTACTAAGGGCCTTAAAGTGTGCCTACAAGATATTCCCCACACCATTACAGGATTACAGGATGGATCCATGCTTTTACGCAGTTTACATCAAATTTTGACCCTATCATCCGAATGTCAAAGTAGAAACATCACAGGAAAGACTCAGGCAGTGTTTTTCAAACCTCCACTTCTCCAATTGTGGTGAGTCCATGAGAATTGTAGCCTACAGTTTCCTATACTTAGCTGACAGGAGTGGTACCTGTTTCGATGTGCATTCAGAGATGCTAGTCTGCATACTTTGGTTGAAACAAGTGGTTATTTGCGTTACTGTTGCCTTCCTATCAACTCAAAGCGTGACCATTCTCCTTGGATCTCTGGCATCGACAAGCCATTTTTCATTCACAGAAGTGCTGCTCGCTAGATATTTTCCTTTTTTTTTACCCTTCTCTGTAAGTCGATGGTTGTGTAGGAAATTCCCAGCAGATTATCAGTTTCTGAAATACTCAGACCAGCCCGTCTGGCATCAACAGCCATAACACATTCAAAATCAAGCTCATGTTGAATTCAGTAGATCATCTTGAACATGCAGTGTTTCGTTGCCATACGATTGGCTGATTAGATATTTGCGTTAATGAGAAGTCGAACAGGTGTACCCACTAAAATATGTGGTAGGTTAATAGATTCATTATTGTTCCCAAGCATTCTCTTTAGATTAGGCTGAGGTTACGTACAACAAAGAAAGATTCAGGAGGCTGGCCGTCTACATCAGTGTCCTCAAAAGTGTCCGCTTTTGACAAAGGTCTGCTGGTGATGTCAAATTTCTCCGAACTCTATCGAGAAAATATAAAATGAATAGCAGTAGTAGTCGTTTTGAAAAGTTTGAGGTATTGGAAACAAGAAATGTAAACATACAGTATACAGTCTAAAAATAGTCTACGTACTTTGTAGTCAGCGATGACGTTGGAGTTGTGCCTTTCTGTGTTTTCTTTTGTTTTCTTGGAGTTGCTGAGCACATGAAGCAGCTCCTCTATGCCATCCTGCAGCAACCTGTCAATCAAAGCCTTCAGCAAAGGAAGCTGAAAAAAGCTTTTATTTAGACAGCTGAACTCTACTTTTATTACACTATTGCATATTTATACAATGTGGTGCAAAGAGCTCACCTTTATACCGTAGGCTTCAAACATTGTCTCGATGTCCTAAAGTCGAGTGAAAATACGTTGTTCAGATACTTAATAATGTAAAATGAGAACATGTATGCCACAGAAGAAATTATTATATCCTTTATTCAACCTTCATCTCAAGAGATTTTCCTGGAGCTCCAGCGTCACCCTGCAGAAACATGAAAATAAATGCAGTCAGCATAATGTAATTTCCATTCCCATGTTTCTGATGTATAAGTCAAATGAGCATTACCTTTTCTCCTTTCAGGCCTTTTTCTCCTTTATCACCCTGCAAAACAAGACAAATCAGCAACCAAGGCTATATTTCAAGGTTTTTTTTAAGAACTCAGCCTCAATATAAGCACCATTACCACCTTACCTTCAATCCTGGAGAACCCTAAACACACAGAAACAGAGGAGCAGGACATTTGAACATGCATCTACAATGCATGACATCAAGCTCACCATATCTGTTCTCATTGTAGCCCACAATAAAAATAAGCACTGTAGTCATCACTGCATGATGACTTAGATTTCATGCAGGCGACAAGTGAATTATGCCATGCAACAGCAGAGGTGATGTGCCATTTTTTAGAAAGCTATACGTATGCAGAAACATGTGCACAAGCATCAAACTCACAGTAGGTCCTGGAGGACCCATTGGCATTGGGAATGCTTGTCGGATTTCATCAATGGTAGCACCCTGAGAAGGGATAAATGGATATTAAGTCAAACTGTGTGATGTTTTTCTGAATCAACACCCAGCATAAATGAGGAATTAGTCAAACCAATGGTGATTACAGGTGTAGTCATAAACAAGTCACCAAAAATGAAGTCATTTTGCATCATGTTTACCTCAGGAGTGACAAGCACCTGCCTCCCAGGCAAACCTGGAAGCCCTGGTTCACCCTTACTACCATCTTTACCCTTCAGGAAACAAACAGCATCATCCAGTTACAGCCTCAACTTCATCACTAAGTTGTGTTTTCCTTCATAAATGTGAATACACTTACATCAGCACCTGCATCTCCCTTGTCCCCCTGAAATGAAGAGTGAAGTTAACACAAGTAAATGGAGAATAAAAGCTTCATAAATGTTTTGATTGCTGCAGCAAATCTAAGAACCTTCTTGCCGTCATCTCCTTTGAGTCCTCTTTCTCCCTGTGAAAAAAAAGTAATTTCATCTAAAAAGAGCTAGAAAACGGCAAACAAATGTGCAAATTGGATAAAACAGTAATCCAGGTGATATCTAATAGCAAAGTGGTATAATTGTCAAATGTTTCTCACATCTTTTCCTGGCAGGCCCCTCTTCCCATCAATGCCAGGTCTCCCCTGTAGAGAAGAGGAAATGAAAAAGGAGATTGATCATTATCGTGGATAAACATGTGGCTCCCGCTAATTACACACCTGACGCAAGAATATATTTTGTTATATTGCCTTGAATGACTAAAGACTGTCACCATTAAAAGTGTATAAAAAATGGATGATAATGGTTTTGCCGGAGAGAAACTCACAGGAGTCCCCGGTAAGCCAGGCATCCCAGCAATCCCAACCCGGCCTTGATCTCCTTTTTCTCCTTTCTGTTTACAAGCATAGAAAAAAAAGTCTCCTTTTGCAAATATCAGCAAATTAAAATGACAAATGTTATTACAAACTGGACAAATTATCACTGAGGCAGTAAAACACTCCACAGCAATGCAAAATAGCTGCTGACATGCTACAAGCTTAGGTGTCTATAAGCACACATAAAGTTGATATACGGAACATAAAGACTGAAAATCATGACTGCATCTTAGCTTTTCTTTTCATTATTCTTTTTTGTTAAGTGAGATAATACACTGTAACTCAGTGATAACTTGTTTTATGCTAATATTAATAGGGCAGTAAACCATATACGGTAATGACAAGAATTTAAGTTCCATAAAAATTCATCCACTCACCGGACCAGGCTCTCCTTTCTGTCCCTGGTCACCCTACGGTTACCATAAGACACCTTGTGAGCAAACTCTTACATGCATACCCTATATGTACAAATATACTGGGCCACGTACACATTACACCTATAAGTGCTGCTCCGCCATGGAAACTCATGCCATGAAGCTCCTGGCGCGCAGTTTTTATTAAGTATTGGTGACCTTTAGGCACTATGCGCCTTGGCTCTCCATGACCCCTGCTCTGTAACTTTACATGGTCTACGTGATGTTTGCAATGATACTATTTAAAGAAATTTCCAAAACTGCCCTGCAGCAATAATGAGACCCTGCTACAGGAAAACACCGAGTTTTGTAAAGGCATATGGCATGGCTTGGTGGCAGTGGGAATGAAAAGATCTCATTTCAGAGATGAAGATCTGTGGCCCAATACTTTTTGTCAATATAGTGCACGCGATGCCATTTACATGGAAATTTTCAAAATATTTGAATGTGCAATTGCAATAAAACCTTTTTCATAACCTTCATTCCTGGTTTTCCTGGTAAGCCATCTAATCCATCTCTTCCAGAATCACCCTGCAAGGCAAACAGTTACATTAAACACACCTTTGTAATTAAACAAAAAGAAACAGAACCACAGTAAGTGCAATTTAGAATTATGGACATGCATACCAGAGACTGTCCTGGTAATCCAGGTTTCCCCTCTGGACCCTGGACAGACACATTACGATGTTTCAAGACATTCAAGAAAAATATATTACTTTTGATTTAAAAAAAAGAAATAGATAAGAATAGCGTAAATGAATTTAGGATCACTTCCTGTGTGGATGCCCCTTTAAACAGATTAACCAAGTTAGATTAATGATCAGTTTTGTGTCCTGAAAGGTAAAAGTTAATGGACTTAATTTTTGGCTGTCCATAAATTAATGGCTGTTTAGTACTTCTAAAAAATAATAATAAGTACAAAAAAAACAGAATTAACGGTCATTAGCATGAATTATATAGTGCTGTATACTGCCCTCTTCCTGGTTTCTTCTTTTTTGCATATCTGCCACACTTTCATGTTTCAGATCATCAAACAAATGTTAATATTAGACAAAAATAACCCTAGTAAATACATAATGCAGTTATTAAACGATGATTAAAAACAGATCCAAAAAGTTATCCAAACTAACCTGGCCCCATGTCAAAAAGTTGTTTCCTCTAAAACCAATGAAGAAATGTTGGTTATGCCAACATTAGAAGCAAGAACTGTGATCAAGAGTTTGACGTAACTGGCAATGAGTGTTTCACATCGCTGTGAAGGAAAGTTTGGTCCACTCTTCTTTCCACAGTTGTTTTAATTCAGTTAGATTTTAGGATTTTCAAGCAGGAAAGGCACAATGCATTTCAAGGATAATGCCCAAATGTTCTGATTATTCCCAGATTTTGACTTGGCCACTGCAAAACCTCGTGTTTGAGCTTCAGGGTGTGAACTGATGGTTGGACATTCTCCTTTAGGGTTTTCTGGTCTCAGAATTCACGGCTCCATCAGTTACAGCAAGGCATCCAGGTCCTTAAGTAGCAAAACATCTGTTAACCATCACTACCACCATCATTTTTGTTGTTGGTGTGTTTGTCGGTTGGTTGTTTTTAATGAACGGCTGTGTTGCTTTAATGTGAGATTTTACAACAGATGTAAAAGTACTCAAACCTTCCAAAAGGTTCTGTTTTAGTCTCATCGGGTAATATTTACATTTATATTTACATTTTAAAAAAATGTAATATCTCACATTTTTGGCAAATGTGAGACAAGACTTTGTCCTCTTTTTGGCACTGAATCGTGAACTTTAACTGAGAAAAGCAAAGGCTGCAGCTCTTTGGATGTTGTTCTGAGTTCAGTTGTGATCTCCTGGATGAGTTGTTGATGGGCTCTTTGCTTCATTTTGAGTTTCCAGCCTCTCATGTGAAGGTTCACCACTGTTACAAGTTTTCTCCATTTGTGGATAATGGTTCTCGTCGTGGTTCACTTGAGTACCAAACACTTAGAAATGGCTTTCCCGACCGATAGATATCAGATATCCTGTTTCTCTTCGTTTGTTGTCATGGCGTGATTTTTGAGCTCCTGGGTGTGGCTAGTGAAACTGAACTCAATGTTCAAAAAATGTGGGGGCAGTTAACTTTTTCATATATGTTCGGATAGCTTTTTTCCCCCTTGATAAAAAAAAAAAAATTGTCTTTTAAAAACAGACTTGTTTTTACTCAGGTTATCTTATATTAAAATTGGTTTGATGATTTGTAACATGTTAATGTGACAAATATGCAAACATTAAGAAAACAGGAAGTCGAAAAGACTTTCTCACTGCACTGCGTATCACATCCTGTTGGTTACTTCATATGGTGAAAATACTCACTTGTGGCCCAGGCGGGCCCATTTCTCCTCGCAAACCTGGCTGACCTGGCTCTCCAGGATCGCCCTGATAAGAAGGAAAGGGCAAAAATCTTTAATTCTTCCTTAACTGAATGAATTTAAAGTTGTAATGTGCTATTCTTCAAATTACCTTAATTACTCTGGTCAGTATGTTGTCTGAACCAGTCTGATTGAATAAAATGACAGTTAAATTGTTAACAAACACAGTTTCAGTTGATTGGAAACAGACATAAGGTCTCATGGAGGAATGAGGCTTTTTACAAGCTGTGCTTTAACAAGCGCCTCTGTCAAACATGGTTGAACTGATCAAGTAATTATAGAGATTTGTTTACTTGTGTTCCCGGAGGTCCAGGCTTTCCCTTTATGACGATGACAGCACAATGAAAAGAAGACAGACAAAACACAGTTAAAATCTACAACGTCATAGTTCTAAACAAATCCAATATTTGCAAGACAAAGGAAAAATAGTTTGGTGCAATGAAGGATGGTAAATACACAAAAAACAAAGTTAATTACTTAACTTATCAAAAGGGAATGACACAGGAGGATAGCAGATTGAGAAGATATGAAACAGTGACTGACACAGAAGAATAATCAGAAGGCAGGCAGCCAGGAGAAAAAAACCAAACATGTTCACTGATGAGAGAGAGGGAGGGAGAGATGGTGGATACAAACTTACCGCCTCTCCTTTGTCACCTTTTCTGCCATCGGCACCCTTCAAAACAGAAAAGAAATCTCAGGTAATGTTAAAGTTTTGCAATTTCAGTTGAATTATTACAGTTAGTTATAGTACCGTATAAAGCTACTGATCTGTACACACATACTAAGCAGAAAGATGAGGATCCTATAAGTGGATCTTCTTAAAAGTGTACATTTAATAAAGCATAGCATTAACTCAGGAAGGCCACAAAGTCAAGCCCAGATCAGCTGGTTCAGTTCGCCACCTTCTACACAGTGAAGTGTTTCAGCTGCTTCAGCAGGGGCACAGCTGCTGCATACCCCCAAGCCCCTTTGCAACCCACCTTTACCGCAGCTCTTCCTTTTAATGCTGTTTCTCACTTAATGAGTAATGTAAGACAGCTTCAAACAACAATCTTCTTTTGACCACAGTTGTGCTGACTGAAGTTTAATTATCATGGCAAAGAACTTACAGGTGGGCCAGGCTTGCCAGGGTCACCTTTTTCTCCAGTGTCACCTGGTTTTCCTGGTAATCCCAATGGACCCTGATCAACAAGTAGAAAGAAATGGAAGAATTTAGCCCTTGACTCATGTTTCACAAATAAAAGTGTCAGATTTAAAGCCTGGCCAGCATTGTAACTACACATTCGGTATACTACATACTGGTTTGTCGCATTTTCAGATTTTGTCAAAATACATTTTGAAGTTACTTTCTAAATTTTGTGGGAAGTATTGTTTTTCCTTTTTTCTTATTTGAACTTTACAACTGTTGAACAAATACCCTGATTCCTCTTTCACCAGGCTCTCCAGCTGGTCCTTGTTCACCCTGCGAAAACAAATTAAATGACTCCGTGGAGGTAATATGTGACGCTGGGGATGATTATAGGGATGTTAAATCATTTTAAAAATAACAATCTTCAAAAGCAACATGTTTAAAAGTCCAAGCGCTGGTCAACAAAACAGTCACGTAACAAACAAATAGACTTTACCTTCATTCCCGGTTCTACTATAGCTCCAGGTGCACCCTACACACAAATTAAACAATAAATCTAAGCAGTAGGAAATATTTAGCCAAATGTGCTAACATTCACAATATACATGTGAACAAAAGGGAAGAGATAAAATAATTACATTTTTTCTGGTCCATTAGTTAAATTTTTCACACTGTTAGCATTTTTCTGACACCATTGTTTCTGAATAGACCTGTTTATCAAACTAAATCTGAACTCCACTGTACCTACCATACAAACAAAACTCATAGTTGCTGTAACGGCCACTCAGGATTTACTTACATCTTTACCTCTTAATCCCGGTTCTCCAGGATTGCCAGGTAATCCAATGCTCCCTTTTTCACCTTTAGAGCCATCTTTCCCCTGAGCAAAGACATGACCTCTGATTTACAATGTCAGCAAAAAAAATGTATGCTTTAAAAATAAATAATTGGGGTTTTTAATTGTTTAATACAAATCTGTTGTAGAATTGTACAACATATTAACGGCTAGCTCAATTTGGGTTTTGATGTAAAAAAAACCCAACAAAACCCGGTATTGTCTGTATTTACAAAGAGTGCAGTGGCAAGATTGCATCTAAGAGGTGGGCTGACTTTTGGAAGTGATCCTGCTCCATTTCTGGGACTTCCTTTCTCAAGTCGTAAATTATAAGTAGAAGCATATTTAAATCAGTACACAAATTGCAACACACAATTTGCTGAGAATTGCACCGATATTGAGACTATATTTAGCCCATTTTTTGTACTTGATAATGAAATTAACTGACTGTGTTTAGAAAAGGAGCACAATGTTTGTAAATCACCTGTAAAGTCACCCTATGAGTACTACTTGGGGATTGTGCTCACACGCTGTTTTGCCCTGTTTGGCGTAATTCAAACGTTATTTAAGTGGTTCAGTTAAGTGTTTTAAACTTTAACTGAAGTTAACATTTAGTAAACTTCTAAAACCAAAAAGAATTTTTGGCCATAAAAAAATATTTTTAACATGTCTATGCCTTGTCTATGTTTATGTCTACCCTTAGCTCCTATGAAGTTTTGCCTAGGTATGGATTTATCTGGCAAGATTTGCCAAACACTTGTGTTAAGCATGTGGAAAAGCCAGGTGTTGCGAAGTGCTCACAAAAAAAAGATCGTGGACAAACGCAACAAATCATACATAATTTCAGGTAGACCCCCTACATGACACTGAATAGCCCACCAACAAAACCTCTGTTTTCACTTGTAGCAACGTACTGTGCAAATTTCCCAAATGCAGCAGACTGCATAGAATGATTGTGTAGATTTTTTTTTCACATCTGCCTCCTATTACTGGAAATTAGTGAAAAAGTATAGAAGAAAACCTAATTTTAAGCAAAGGTGTCAATCCAAAAATACAAAATTAATGTATGTGTTTATAGTCTATGTGTTCTTGAATACTACTGCTTGTTTTCATCTTGCATGTAGTATTTTGACCCATTGTTTACAGAAAAAATAATTCATGAGAAGAACTTAATGTAACCAGTGATGACTCACCTTTTGTCCTGGTTTTCCTGATAAACCAACATTTCCCTGTAAACAATGAAACTAATAAAACATCTAACAACAACAACAACACACAGCAATTTCCTGCTTTATGATTCCAGGATGGCAACAGCGTTAAAGAATCAAATGACTCACCCTTTCTCCATTTTCTCCCTTTTGCCCCTGCTGTCCTGGAATCCCAAAACCAGGACTACCCTGCACATATCAAAACAAACCATAACCGTACCATAAAATGATATTCAGTTATTCTATTTGCTCTAATCCTGCAATAATAAAATTGAAATGACCATGATGGACAATATCTCTCCATAACAACCTTTTCTCCCTTGTCTCCTTGTTCTCCCTTTATTCCCTGAGGGCCTGTGGAACCAACTGGACCGATGTCCCCCTGAGAGAACACATACATGAGCACATGTACATCAATTGATAAGAGAAGGCTAAACCTCTCTCCACTCTAAATGGACCCTGTGGACTGTCATTAATTATGTGCCATCCAACAGAGCATTCAGTCTCCCTGAAAAAGCTAATGAGAGAAAATTTTTAATTGTGTTCGATAAGCGGGTCCATGAGATTGAGTCTGCAAAAATACACCAATTAATTAACAATGTTTTCAATTACTCACCTCTGGCTGATTTATTTTAACTCACTTAAGATAAATACGTGCACACAGCTTAGTCTGGTTGAGAAGAAATTAAAAAAGGTGTTACAGCACCCACAGTTTCAGTAGTTTAAATCCTTTTACTCAATGATAAAACGTTTACCTGGAACTAATAGTAATTTCCTTATTTTAATCTTAAATGCCTTAACTGCAGACGAGCAGTTCGTACCAACAGAAAAAGTTGTTATAATTGCACTTTACACAGAGTTTGCAACGTCTCTTTGTACGCAGCTGAAAAAGAACAAAATTAAATCATCCAGGTTTCACAGCTGACTGCAACTACCACAGCATGACTTCTATATTAGGTTCTTATCTGTTATTATCTCACAGGTTTGAAACACGTGGTTAGCAACTATGATTACTTCATTGTTTCCCATAAAAGAAAAGCAACCCTGGAATAGATGATGGGTACATCAAAAACCACAACCATTAGTAACTAGTAAGCATAGATCTAATTAAAAGAAAGCTAATCTATATCACAGCCTCCCTATTGCTGATCTGTATCTGTTAAACTGACAGAGGGACAAATGAAAGTTTATAGAGGTTAGGCTTACAAAAAGGGATCCTGTACCACTGTCCAGAATTTATTAGCTCAAACTCAGAATTCTAAATCTATAAAGGATTGTTAAAATCCTGCTAGCCAGCTAACCCCTGGACTGTCCAAAAATGTCTCAGGAAGGAAGGAGTATTTCAAATCAAACAGACAAAAACTGTCTGATTTTACTAAAAGTAAGATGCTGAGTGTAGGTAATGAATGAACCCCCAAAATGTTGGCGTCTGCTCCTTGATGACTGCAGTTCCACCAACATGTAACTTTTTCTTTAAGTGCAATGAGACACAGGGTTCATCCAATTACCAGTCAGGTGCCTGCCTGAATGTGAAACATGTATAAGAAGATGGCAAAAATGAAGGCTGAGATGGAATTATACAGGTAGCTAGCTGCACCGACTGCTGGTGACATGCTTTTTCTCTTTTGTGTGCTTTATATCCCACAGCTTTTGATCAGGTAGGCTGAAGTTAGCATATGGTAGATGGTGAGAAAGACACCAGTTTCCCTTTTCAGATGTCAGCCAGTCAAACTGTAAAAGGAATCGCCTGGAAAGGCCGGTTAGTAACACTATGGGGGAATCTCATATGATAAAGGTGTAGATTATGGATGCTGTGACTTTAAAAGCACCTTTCTTAACTTTTCCTTATGTAATTAAGAATATATAGTGCCCGATGATTGACTTGAGAACTATCCAGACCATACACTTGATGTCCTATGACAGCTGGAATATCCATCGCCTCCTTCCCCAGAACCCAACAGGTTAAGCATTTCTTCAAGGACGTTTAAGGCTATTTGACATATTTGAAGTCTGTAATTAAGCTGAAAACAATGTTTTGGAAGAATGTTGATGTAGTATACACTGATTGGAAAATTCAGTGGTGAAAATAGAAACAGATCAGCAAAAGTTCTGGAAAAAGCTCACACACTGGTAACTTACCCTGGCCCCCTTTTTCCCAGCTGGACCAATTACCTGTTGTGACAGGGAAAAGACAGTTTAATAGCAAAGCCTCTATATACTAGGTTGAAATATATGAAATGGTTCTCTTACACCCTTCGCCGGGTCTCCAGCAGGTCCTCTTGGACCTTCATCTCCCTTTAATCCCATCGGTCCTGCAGGCCCCTAGAAATGTGAAGGTGAACTGTCAGTGCCACTTCCGTTGTGACCGTTAACTCCAAGCCTCTCTGATAAAAGCTGTTTATTTTTGTTCCCAACAAATCAAAACCAATTTCTTCTTTTTATCATAAAAACCAATCTTGTTGAATGACTACAAAGCGTACTACAAAACACAGGAAGATGGCCCTCATGATGACAGTTTGTTCAGTAGCAATCTCTTCCAAAAGATTATGCTGCTTCAAATTAAAAATCACTGAAGCAGAAAAAAACGACCCATTTGCAAAACATACCCACTGAGGTTTGACAATTTGGCTCGTGGATGTATGCAATCATAACCATCTCTGATAGAGTGTAATCTTCCAAACCCAGAACAAAATGACTTCCTCATTTGTTCATTCATCAATCTAAATGTCTGCTTGGAGACATTAGCAAAAGTTATTGATAGGTTTAAAGCTAGTCTTTTAGTTTTCAGAGCTGGTGCAAAATAAAAACACTGCATTTGCCCCTCCCTTGTTTTTTATATTTCTTTATAGCTTTTGATAAATTCTTTTAACATCTGTTCCAATTTATTTCGATCTTCTCTAATCCCCACAGAGTCGAAGGTGTACATACAGGTTCAAATATATGCATATTCTAATATACTGATATTTGGTTAAATGTGTCTCAGCAAGTTGCAGTTTGACGGGATGCTTTAGGTAGCCATCGACAACTGATCACAAATCCCGCCAGGATAATTCTGGCTGGGGTCCTCTTGGCAGAATTTGTAGGATTCATTTAAACTGGTTGGTTTTCTGGCATTTCCTGACTAAGCATAGTCTACAAATTTTCAAAAGGGTTGAGGTCGGGACTTTGGAAAGGACATTACAGTGTTTGTGTTTGGAGACAGTCCTTGTTTATTATTCCATTACTTGTGCAATATACCAGCACCACTGGCAACAAAACAACCCCAGAGCATGATGCTGCTACCACCATGCTTGAAAGTTGGTGCAGTGTTCTTAGGTTTGAAAGTCTCATCCATACTCCTCAAAAAGTAGTAGCAGGATCATTCAGTCTTTGTCTGACAATAAAGATTTTCTCTTTTCTTTTAAACCTCTTAAAACCTTTAAACTTTTAGATCTCTGACATAAACTATATATGTGTCTGCCCAACTTATCACTTCGTAGATCATCTCATCGAGGTCTCTTAATTGTTCCATGCTCTTACCTTAAAACAAGAGCCAATCACGCTAATGAGGTTTCAGAAAAGCCTTTCTTAGCTTATCAGGATGATTGGTTTGCTTTTAAAAAATGACGAAAACTCATTTCTATAAGTTAGCTTTCCGCAATTATTATGGGCCACAGTTTATATTTTTTGTGTGTATAAAAGTGTGTCTGTTGAAATGAATGTGTCACTATGTGTCTGTATGTTGAACTGTATTTATTTATCTTTAAACTGTGACTGTGTTTTGAAAAGCGTTGTATAATTAAACTTTTATTATTATTATTATCATTATTACTAATAAATCTGATGCCACATTGTATAAGATGCAATCCTCACTCACTGGGGGTCCTTGTGGTCCTATTGGTCCCACCTCTCCTTGGTCTCCCTAAAGAAGAAAGAAAATGTTAACGCACACTTTTTTTGTAAGCAGCCTTATTCTTGTTAATCTAAAATGAATCTTCACATTCATATGCATGATAATTGTAAAGCAGAAAGAATTTATATGTGAATGAACTCACCTTGTCTCCTGGCTCCCCTTTCATTCCCTTTTTCCCCTGCGGGTATAAATAAATCACTTGCTTTAAATTAATTCATCAATGATTGTTATGCAGTCTTCACTTTTATCTGTGATAAATCTGCTTCATTTTATTAGAAGGAAGTGCAATTCATTTATATGCATTTCAGTATAAAACATGCAGGGTAGTCATATGTGACTATTCAGTTGGTGATAAAGTGCACACCCGAGGTCCAATGATTCCCTGGATGCCCTGCTCTCCACGCTCACCCTTAAAAGACAAAGTGAAGAAACATGTGAACCCACAATAAAGTTTTAACAATAAGGGGGGGTTTAGATTACTTTAGGATATTAGCAAAAATCTGAGTTTAAAAATGTATATTTTGGTACCTTTGGGCCAACTGGTCCTGCTAATCCAATATCTCCCTGCATGACAAAAGTAAAACAAACACACAAATAATCCAGTCTTTAATGCAGTGCAGACTATTCTCCAAAGTCAAGCTGATGACTAAACTCTGTGTCCTTCATGTCTGCTGTAAGGTACCTTCTCTCCTTTCTCTCCATGAGGACCTTGAACACCTTGTATGCCAACTCCCTCCTCACCCTGCAAGAAAAAAATAAATATTACAAACAATAAAGTATTTTTAGTAATTATGCACTTAGGGTCTTTATAAGCACAAAAGCTGTAATTCAAAATTACCTTTTCTCCTTTCTGGCCTGGCAGTCCTGGTCCCCCATCAACACCAATGGGACCAGGCAAACCTGCAATGCCCTGCAGCAGTTTGCACATGTGTCAGTTTGCGATGTGAGAGACAAAGCGGGCACAGAAACGTCTCAAATTCTGTTTTATTTTTTTCTTAACTAAGCTGCCCGAACACTATCATTTTATCAGCTATGTGCTTACATCTTTTCCCGGCTCTCCTTTGTCTCCATTCACGCCCTGCTTCCCACGTAAGCCCTTTCAAAAATAAATGAAATATTATAAGATATGCAAACACAACAAGACATATTATATAACAAAATAACCGAGCGGTTTGAAAATAGGCTGATATACAACATTTATGAAAGTAAATTAAAAGTAGGGATTCGGGGGTTTTTTTTGAGCAAATGTATAAAACGACAAGAAGACAGCCTTCATACTTACTTTTGTACCCGGCTCTCCGGGATCTCCCTGCGAAGTGCAAACAGTAGAAGCAGCTTTGATTGGACTGTGCTGTCAAAACATCTTTGTGACTCTTCATACTAAATACTCCAAGCTGTCTTGACATTATGTGATGTGCAGTGACAGGCATTATAAAACATCATGAATTAAAAAAAGGTGGGGTGTAATTACAATGCCCTTTTTTTTCTTTGCTTCCCTTGAATTTACGTTACCTTGACAGCTATTCCTGGTGGCCCCGGTGATCCTGGCTGACCAGGCAGACCTGGAGCTCCATTGACCCCTGGAAGACTGGGAGGTCCTGGGGGACCCTGTAACATGCAGTTAAAAGTATCTTAAAATGCCTTAAAGATTACCTTTCAAAAACTACTTGTTTATTTGTTTGTTTTTTGGGGAAATTTATTTTTTTTATTTTTTTTGCCTTCTCGAAAACTCACTGAGGAGCCTGGCTCTCCTTTTCGTCCGGGCACAAAATTTGCATCTGTACCAGCTATGACGTATCCCGGCTCTCCCTGAGAGGAAGGCAAAAAAAAAGACTCTGTTCATTGTTGTTGCAGCATAAAAATCTTAAAAGTGCATAAACATCTGTCTCATGAATAGAAAGCAAAATTAAATGCATGGATTACACTTACTCTTTCTCCTCTCTGTCCCTTTGGACCAGGGAGCCCAGGTGGACCCTACCATGAAAAGACTGTTTCAAAAATTCTTCACAGTCTCCAAAGAATATAGATGACACAATTAATCAATCTATATATTTTTTTACAGATATTTTGTTCTCACCATGTCACCTGGAACACCTGTAGGGCCCTGGAAATTTAGAAAGTAATCATATTTTCAGGTTCAGATCAGATAAGTGTGAAATTCTGTTCTATATGGATATACAAGCGTGAGAAAAGGAACGTTCTTGTAGCACTATATGCAGACCTATGATGCACTGCACAACAAATTAAACACAGCATATCAGCACAAACACCTCATGCCAACTGTCAAGCACGGTGGTGGAGGGGGGATAACTTTGCTCCTTGCAATAAGTAGATCAAATGTGAGGCCATCTCCGTACGTCCTGTCGAAGTTCAGACCACAACCTGACTGAAATGCTTGGACCTCAAGAGAGCTGTGCATACACTCTTTGCACAAGACTGCTTATACTGCTGTAAAATTATTTTCATATGACTTTAGGTACCCGTTGGCCAGCAGAACCCGGTGGTCCAGTTCTTCCTGGGCGACCTGGCAAACCAGGAACACCGTCAGTTCCAGGAAGTCCCTGTCAAATTAAGACATTAGAGTCAGTCCTGAAAATAAAAATATTAATAAAAAAATATATATATATTAAATAACAAATTGCAGAGGGACACAAATATTACTGCACTGTTAGTGGTTTCGATACAGCATTTAAACATAACACTAATTGTATATACTGAATTCAAAGAGGACAGTACACGGGAACTAATTTAATGCAAATGGTTTAAAAGACGAGGTTTCACATACTTTTGAAGCTGAAATGCTCTACAAACATCTTAATTCATGTTTTTGTTTACATGCAACTCTTGTTGCTAAAACTATTTTGCTTTTTGCCACTCATACTGCATGTGCTAGTATAAGGTAATAAAGGGCAGATGTTGAAGACAACAAATAATAACTAAGGCATTTATGTGTAATGTGCACAAACAACCTTATTATTATTTATGTACATATATTCATGCACATACAATTAACATATGCTGTATGTGCTGATGCTTACCCTTTCTCCTTTTTCTCCTTTTGAAGATGTGAAAGGATCAAACTCTCCAGGGCTTTGTCTGAATCTCTACAACAACATTAATAATTGTTATTTTTTAAAGGTTTGGTTGATGATAAGTAAAAAAGTGTATCTGAATATACAAGGCAGAAGCGGGGCCAGTGAAAAACTGAATAGAAGGGAGAATAAAGTTTAAGCGTATTATTTAAGAGGCGCCATAAAGTAAGGACAAACATACCAGACCAAGACCCAAACTGTCTCCCTGAAAGAATAAAAGATTATCAAAAAATAAAGAAATAAGTTTATGAAATGTTACAGGAAAAAATGCATCAGTTTTGTCTGAGTCAAATACAGTAACTCACCTTTTCCCCTTTTTGGCCCTGAAAAAACAGAAAATTCATATGATTAATCACTGCAGAATAACAAGGTTTAACAACTCACGATTATAACTTTGCAGGAGAAAGAATCAAACAAACCTTCATGCACTGAGTTAGGCATGGACCCTCGGGCTTAAGCATCTCCTCTGGGTCATCAGTGGGGGTGTCTAGCTGAGCACCCTGAAAATGAAAAAAAATGAATGCATTACAAACTATTCAACTGACTTTTAAGTAGACTACAGAAGCAGAGAAGGCTCACTACAAAGCTTCTTTGAATTTGCTTGTCAAGAATAATTTGAATTCTTATTATGCAACACAAGGTTGTATAACAAATTTGAGATGTAGTCTGTTTGTGCTACAAAATTCTGAATGAATTATTCATTATTTGAGTCATAAAAGTAAAGCTACTGTTTGCAGTGAAGGGGGGGGGGATCTCAGAGCTTCACACGTGTAGTCTTGTGGCCTGAAGAAAGAAACTTCAAAGTTAATTGGTAAAGCAGCAGAGGTACCACATGTAGTACCAGTTGCTGAATTTTCCAGTTAGGACACTTTTTTATGCCCGTCGCTATAAGTGACTTAGTGACTTGGAAAGTTCTATCTGTGATATTGATTCAGAGAAATTTGAAGCTGTTTATCTGCTGCACCTAAAAAAAAAACAAAAAACAGGTGTGTCTGTCTTTGCCTCCTTTCTTCTAAAATCAAAAATCACCTGCTTATTTTTTTCCTTACAATGTGCAGTTGATTGTTCTCTGGCTACCACACCGCAAGATTGCTCATGTCCTCAGGATATGAACAAGAAAAATACATGTACATTCACAACAAAAGAGGGGCAGGTGCTGGCCCGACAACAAGCAAACAACAAAAGGAAAAAAATCAACTGCTTGAACACTGCAGAGCTCCGTTTTTTCCTACTGATTGCACCAGGAAATCTATGACGTTTCTACCACACCTACTCATTTTTAGAAAAGAAATTTTGAGTTTCATTATTGAATGTTAAGCTCAAATCAGCAGCATTCACAGAGGCTTTATTTATTATCAAGGTGTGTGAAGACGGGGGACAGTGGAGCCAACTGCTGAGGATCTATGTGGACAGGTCTATTGTCTTTTATGAAAAACCAGCCTCTCAAAACACATCATCAGAAATGGGCTGAGTCTGCAGTTACGTCCTCCGGTCTGACGTCAAGTAAAGCATGGTGACGTTTTCTCACCTGCAGAGCCTTTGTGTGCAAATTTAAAATTAACTGGATGGACCTCTGTGTAATACATGGTCATTAGACACAAATAATAGGCTCCACAGGTGTTTTAGAAGATCCACCTACACATGCAAGTATGTTCACTTTACAGCCACAGTATAAAAGCTGTCCCAATACAACAAAATCTCCTACAACGCATACTTGTATGTATCGCTTATGAACAAAGATTTTCTACATTTACAGTCATTTATTTGTTTTAGTTTCTTACAGACAGACAAGCAATACCTTTGCCTTATTTTTTTTTAACCTCACCTCATCTTGTAGTTTGAACTCTGTGATGAGTTCGTCGCTACAGAGGCTTCTGATAAATTCTCTCTCCACGGAGGGAAAATCATCAAAAGTTGGTGAATAGAAGATGTTTTTGTAGCTGGTGGGAGCCGCAATTTTATTCAGTTCTTCACGATCTGCATTCGAAACTCCAACTGCCAGGACGCTGACCCCTACAGAGACACAATCGTAACATGATAACTGAATATTTTAGTTTAAACTTTTAATGAGTGAAAAATCCGTTCACGTGTTTTGAACAGTTTATATTATAACTCACCCAAGGCGCGGGCAATTCTGGAGGGTGGCACCACATTGTCTTGGGCCTTGCCATCTGTAAACAAAACCAGAACATGGGGTACATCCTGCCTCATCCCATGAGCCTCCTGGAACAGTTCTTGCAGAACATAGCTGATGCCTTTTCCTGAGGAACAAAAGAACAAAAACAACAAAA